AACAATTGTAACAATTGCTATTAATTTTTATTTGAAGATACACCACTAATTATTTATTATTGTTGATTATTTTTCAACTATTTTATGTTAATATTTAATTAGGGATGCTAAATAAACAAGCTACCATCTTTGCTAGATGATTCATATGGATATGAATGTCGTAAAAATATATATAATGTCTAATTTTTAAATTAAACATAGGAATGAAGATAAATATGAATATCTTTATACTCAAACATATCATGTTCTTAATTATGTCTCCATTTTAAACTATTAAAATATCTTTAATTAATTATTTAAAATAAAAGATATAATTTACATGAACTTTTCTTAGGTTCTTAAATCCGTAACTTATTTTTAAAGTATATATCATTTTTTTACTCTTTCGATAATTATTTAATCTTACTTTATTGTTATTTGATATTCCTATTTGATATCTATACAATTATAATCATTAAAAAAAATATGTGTTGCTGAAAGGAAAAGCAAACTGATTAAAAACATGTTTGATATGGTTTTTTTATGATATTTTAACTATTTTAAACAAGTTAGAAATGTCACGCTTTAATTGAACTAAAATAATATGTTAAAATGCAGAAAGAAGGTATAATCTGTATTAATCGATTATATCAAAAAATATAATTGATTAAAAACACAAGTAACATGTTTTATATATAAATGGGTTTGTTCTCAATTCTGTGCAAGTGAATGTGCTATCCAAAACTCAAATTTTAGGAGAAAGAAAAACAGTAAAGAATTCTTGGAGATGAAAGAGCATGGTTGAATGTGGTTAAATGGTGACTTATTCTGGCTTTAGTGTGACATATCTACACTTTGAGGTGTATTTTTTTCTTTTAATTTTGATTCTAGTTGTGTGTACNAGTATATATCATTTTTTTACTCTTTCGATAATTATTTAATCTTACTTTATTGTTATTTGATATTCCTATTTGATATCTATACAATTATAATCATTAAAAAAAATATGTGTTGCTGAAAGGAAAAGCAAACTGATTAAAAACATGTTTGATATGGTTTTTTTATGATATTTTAACTATTTTAAACAAGTTAGAAATGTCACGCTTTAATTGAACTAAAATAATATGTTAAAATGCAGAAAGAAGGTATAATCTGTATTAATCGATTATATCAAAAAATATAATTGATTAAAAACACAAGTAACATGTTTTATATATAAATGGGTTTGTTCTCAATTCTGTGCAAGTGAATGTGCTATCCAAAACTCAAATTTTAGGAGAAAGAAAAACAGTAAAGAATTCTTGGAGATGAAAGAGCATGGTTGAATGTGGTTAAATGGTGACTTATTCTGGCTTTAGTGTGACATATCTACACTTTGAGGTGTATTTTTTTCTTTTAATTTTGATTCTAGTTGTGTGTAATTGTTATGTAGGTAAGAGATATGAAAGATTGTATGTAGCATCATCATAAAGGGTTATTGTTGATTGTTAGAGTTTAAGATTGCTTAGGTGAACTTGTATAGTTGTAAACTCTTCATCATTATGGATAAAATCCTTTTACACTCGGGTTGTTAGGTTTCAATTAAGTCGAACTAGTATAAATTTTTATGTAATTCTTAACCTCATTTTCTTTCATTGTTTATCTTTGAAAGACTGAAAATGTCCATTAAAATAGCTATCAAACACTGAATTTTAAAGAAGGGAAAGATCTAAATTTTTTAATCCAAATTTTTTAGTCCAATTCACTCTCTCTTGGTTGAGATCTATTGATATTAACAATTCTAACATGTGTATACTATTTAATACTTGATAATATATATTTTCTTTGTTGTGATCTTTATTATTTTTGTAAAAAAATTATTTAATTATAACAATAAAGGAATAAGTATGATATACTTGTTATTCGATGGAAGGATGAGACAAAATATCATATATATTAAGTATAAAGATGAATTTTATTTTAGAGAAACAATGAGATAGTTAAATTCGCACTCACTTAGCTCCATTGTTATCTCTAGTCTTTAATTTCATACCTGTCTTAATACTTGTCCCTGTCTTAATACTTGTCCCTGTCATCATACTCATCTCCATACCGCATAAAATTATTAAAACACATTTAATTTACTTTATTGATTAATCTACAAAGCTTATGTAAACACACATTTAGATATTTATGCAATTATAGTTTCTTTATTTATATTTAACATTTGAGATAAATTAATACTTGATAATATAATATTTTGCACGTACACACATATATATATATATATATATATATATATATATATATTAATAGAATATAGCCAAAATCACATTCATCATGCCCCATATTATACCGTGAGAAGTTCGATGGTGAAATGATCTAAGCAAGTTCTAATGTAAAATAAAATAGATATAATATGAATTGTTAAAACATTGATAATCATAAATTTATTAATTTATGTAATAAGGAATAACTGTGTTAGGTAACATATTTGTTAAGTAAAAAAACATTATTGAGTGAAAAAAATTATTTTTGTTAAAAAACATAAATATATTAATTTGTGTAAAAGAATTTCTTTTGAGTTAGGTAACATATCAGTTGACATAAAAAACGTTTTTTATTTTTTTCTTCACAATCAACTTAAAACATCTTTTTAAGGTAACTTTTATTTGTTTTTTTCTAAATTGTTTTTTGTGTTGTTATATATTTTTTGATATTTTCTCGCATTACCATTAATGTTTATGTACTCTCATTCTATTGTTATCTTCTTATCCATAGTAACATCTTCTTACAACTAGCTTGCATTTGTAAATTCTATTAGGTAAAAATGTTAGAAAAGCTTTGGTTGGTTATGGTGCGGTGAGCTTATTCCCATCCATCTACCACATAAATTGTAAATAGTTTGAAACAATTTTATAACAGAAGAATAAATGTGTGACAATTTCTTCATTTTTTCGAATAACTCACAATATTGGCTAATTCTACCCCTTATTAGCATGGAATTGATCCACAATATTATTTAATCCATATTCTAAAAACATGCATATATAATAATTTAATCCAAACAAATTTTACTAGATTGGACGTTTGTGGTGACATAATATATAAATTCAACGACAATATTCGATAAGAATATACTATTATACACTATCTTAAAATTAATTTAATTATGTACACTAATTCCAATTAACAAAGAAACACAAGCTTCATATAACTAAATTTAAACGTAGAGGCATCTATAAAACGGTATTGTGTTAGATTACAAGTAACTCCTCAATTTCTTCACATAAGGTTGCTTGAGCCTTGAACCTTGTAAGTTTTTGTGTATAGGAAAGTGCAAAAGTAAAGCTTTGTAAAAGAAGTGAAGACTTTGAAGTGAAAAAGTCATTAATAACCAAATTGAATTAAAAATGTTTTGCCTCTTTATCAAGTAAAATTGATTGAACCCTTCATCCATTTTTTTATTACTATATGTAAAAAAGCACTTCACCCATTTTGGTTCATGATTCCAAGGCGTGAATGATAACAGAAATTTATCTTAGAATATGTACAAATATCTTATAATACAATTATATTTTTTCAAAAATTTCAAAGATATCAAACTAATAAATAAGAGTATATACCTTTATTCTAAAAAAACTTCTATATTCATGCTACAATGATTGTTTTTGGGAAAATTTTCTTAGGAAAATTTATAAGAGTATATACCTTTATTCTAAATTTTCTATATCCCTATTTTTTTTTCATCTTTTGCCATATTTTATTAGTTCATAAACCTACTTATTGCGCAAAGTTTTATTATAAAAATTGTGCATTTCTTAATATTTGTTTTTTCTCTCAATTTTCTTTTCTTTCTTCTCTGTCATGAGAGAAAACCAAATAAATTTAATCTGAAGGATATCTGATCTGTTATCCACTACAAGATGAAAAGACATTGATAAAAATATTATTATATGATAATTGTTAGTTGATTTTTAATTTAAATTATGTGGAAAGCACAACGAGGCTTCGAGCTTACTTCAAGCAATGTTATAGATTGGTGAAAACGTCAACAACACAACCTAAAGCTATTTCAATCGTTAAACTGGGCCTGCATCTAAGTCATATCATATAAAAGTTGCAAACAATAAACACCTAAAAGTGCTGCTTTTAATTTATTTTAATTTATCAACTCAAAACCTAAGTTCCAAATCTCTAACTAATCACCCTCTTCAACCTCACACCCAATAGCCTGCAAATATCAATATATATAAATGCAATCTTTCACTTTTCAGAAATAATATGAGCATTCATTAGCAGGTTAAAATTTATGAAAGTTGACATATATATGTATATATTGAGAAACTCACTTTTATTTTAGAAAAAAACTTGATCTTATGGTTTTAATAAATTTTAACTAATAATAGAATGTATTAGAATCTATTTCTAACCCTTCACTTCAATTTTGGGGACACTTTTCTCGCTTGAACGTTGTTATCAATTATAAATAAAAGTGATGTAGCTTCACCATTTCTTTTTTATAAATATAGTGAAGTTAGAAAATCCGTGTACTTATGGAGCAAACCAAGTATAGAATTGGAAAAGTTTATTTAATTAAGAAGTTAACTATAAGTTCTTTTTTTTAGGAAAATATATTTTTTTGACATCCCTTGAACATGTTGACAATTATGTTTAGGGGTATTTTGATCATTAAAAAAAATTAACTTTTGTACTTGTTAAGAAAAAAAGATTGAAGAGTAAAATAATAAATGTAAAGTGTGGGTAAAATTTTTTTGAGTGTAAAAATAATATTACTTTTTTTTATATAAAGACTAAAAAATCCATGTTTAACCATCACAAAATTGGTTTCATTCTTAACATAGGTTTTTTTTTCATCAAATACTTATATGATACCATTTTGAGTGGGAATATATGATGAATAAGAAAAGCTTGGAAGTGCATCATACTCTACCTACTAGTGGACAAGTTGTCTAAGCTAGAATACAAACCTTTCTCACCAACCGATTGCAACGAAGCTTCAAAAAGGAGGAAGGGATGTTGCTGTGGAAACGAAGAAGCCAAAATGAAAATGGCAAAGACACAGCAAGTGATGGTAGGAGGAAGTTCTTGGGGAATTAGAAACATCTTTCATTCTCTTGTAGCCATCTTAACCACTCTTCTACTTCTCACTACTACCATTTATGTAAGACATGACAGAGGACATTTATCTCCCACCATAAATGCCTCCAGTAATTCCTCCTTCTCATCATCTTTTTCTTCATCATCATCTTCATCATCATCATCATCAAAGTGTGACTTCTTCTCTGGTAAGTGGGTTTTTGATAACCAATCTTATCCATTGTACAAAGAGCAGCAATGCAGCTTCATGTCAGATCAGTTGGCTTGTGAGAAGTTTGGAAGGAAAGACCTTAGTTACCAGAATTGGAGATGGCAACCTAACCACTGTGATCTTCCAAGGTGTGTAATTCTAAGATAGTTATTACGTGTTTATGATCTTAAACAATCTTTAAGGTCACATACATAGCAGAAGAAAAAAAATACAATTTCATTATGTGTCTCAGTTTATATATGCCTGTTATATGGTATATATGAGTAACGAGGTTTGGCTATAGTTTTTGAGGTTTGTGGAATGTGGTTGTTTCTATGTTAATAAGGTTCAATGCCACAGCACTGCTTGAAAGACTAAGGAACAAGAGACTTGTGTTTGTGGGGGATTCACTCATCAGAGGCCAATGGGTTTCCATGGTCTGTCTTGTTGACTCTATACTTCCCAAAACCCTCAAATCCATGCATTCCACTGCTAATGCTTCACTCAACATTTTCAAGGCCAAAGTAAGTCCTCATTAAACATGGGACTTTCACATAACCTATTATTGTCAATGTTACTGAAATATATATGTTTCATTAACATGTTTAATGAAGGAATACAAAGCAAGTATTGAGCACTATTGGTCCCCATTACTTGTAGAATCGAACTCAGATGACCCAGTAAACCATAAGGTGGTAGAACGCACAGTGAGAGTGAAGGCAATAGAAAAACATGCAAAGTATTGGACCGATGCAGATTTTCTGGTTTTCAATACATATCTGTGGTGGAGAAGGCCAGTCATGAATGTTCTGTAAGTTCAGCGGTTAACCTAACCAACACTTCCTTTCATCAACTTGCATGCCAACAGCTCTAACTTCAATTCCAACCACCACATGACATGATTGTGTAGGGTTGTGTTGTACTATTCAACACATAATCATGCATCTAACTCCACTTTACAAATTGATTTTGACTGTGACATTGTTAATTGAACAAGCAGGTGGGGATCATTTGGAGACCCAGATGGTGTCTACAAAGGTGTGGAAATGTTGAGAGTCTATGAAATGGCCCTGAGAACGTGGTCCGATTGGTTGGAAGTGCATGTCAATCGTAACAAGACCCGTTTGTTTTTCGTTAGCATGTCACCCACTCATGAAAGGTATCCACATTAACATAACAACCATCATATTTGTTCATTGGTGATATATAGAATCATATCCATTGCACAAGTTCATCCCCCAAAATGCATGCGTTTAGTGACAAAAGTGATGCCAAGAAATATTAATTTATTCTTTTGAGAAATCAAACTGAGTATAAGACTCATAGAAATTGAAAAAAAAAACAATATATAAGAAAAAAAATCTATAAATCTTTGTCTTAAATTGGAAATTTCGTATATAAATTAAACTTATGTTGTTTTATTGGTATAGTCTTGTAATAATTTTCGTACAAAAGACCTATTAGAATTAACCCAAACTCTTGTGTTGAAAGGGTGTTTGTCGCATACAATTCTTTCAAGTGAGGAAACTACATTTACAATTTTATGCACATGAAGGTGGGCCAATTTATCCTAAATATCTATGATGGAGCCCTCTCCCGTAAAAAATGTCCTACATGTTCAAACATTGAGAAGTAATTATATATGAATTTCAAACTCAAATTTCACGTTTTGAATATGTTGTATTGATTCTACGAAAAGCAAAGTTATCTTGCTTTTTCGTTAAATACCATTGATGCTAGGTGTTTTTTTATTGGTAGAAACTTTTCGAAGATTTTTTACTGATTGCTCTATATATTGTGTAAGAGTACAACTGGTAATTAATGGGAAAACTTTTATCTCCGTTTGACTGTTTTGCAACTCAATAAATTCACGAAAAGTTAATTTAACAATTACAAACTGGTTACGAAAAATTAATTCAATGACCTTCTACTATTTGTTTTTAATTGAGGCTGTCGAACTGATTCCATTAAAAAACAAAATTATCTTGCTAATTTCTTGAGAGCTGATTTTAATTAGGTGAGAAAATACATTTTTTTTGAATAATTATTCTACAGAGAAATTGTTTTGTTTCAGCGACCAAAACTCAAATTCAAAACAGTATCTGTGAACATATTCAAAACTAAAACTCATTCAGCTGCAGTTAAATTCAGTATAGAAAGTACATAGTACTAAGAACTGATAATTCAGTATGCTTCTCATTCATAACATTCATAGTAATTTAAAATCAAATTCAAATAATTGTTCAAGCGAATTGTTCCAAGAATATTGAAATCTATGCTTCATATATACTAGATATTGCCAATATCCCATTACCCACAAAACTCAAGCAAAATTACTTATCATAGCATATCTATAGTAAAGTAATGATCATACCAGAATCAGTGAATGTTACTGAAAAGAAAAGAATTGCATGCAGGGCTGAAGAATGGGGAGCTGGAAAGGGTAACAATTGTTACAATGAAACTGATATGATTGCAGAAGAAGGTTATTGGGGCAAGGGGTCTGACCCTAAAATGATGCGTGTGGTGGAGAATGTGCTTGATGATTTGAAAGAAAGAGGTTTGAATGTTCAAATGCTTAACATCACACAACTTTCAGAATACAGAAAAGAAGGACACCCATCTATCTACAGGAAGCAGTGGAATTCTCTAACACAAGAACAGATTGCAAACCCAAAAAGTTATGCAGATTGCATACATTGGTGCCTTCCTGGTGTCCCTGATGTGTGGAATGAACTCCTTTATGCCTATATTTTCTACCAATAACATATGTTTCACATGGAAAGCTTGCAAATAGCATGTGTTCAAAATGACACATTCTTTCTATATCTTTCAGGCTATTTAATCATTTTATAATCAATCAAACAAAACTGTAAAGCATAACTCTTTTAGCATGTTTATAGAACACCACTGCTATTAAAAAACATTGCTACGCTTAACAGGGTTAATTCAGTGTGTACATATCATTAGTAAGGAGCAGCAGACAAGTTAACATGTGTGTGTGGATATTTTAAAAATAACAAAGGAATGAAAGACAATAGATTATATCTAATGAAAAAAATATAGTTATATATCTCATACTCATCATAATAACATGTTTTAGAAATTCAAAAGCCACATAAATCGAAACTAATAAAGAACTAAACCAACTCAATCATGTTAAAAAATAGGTATGCTGCTTCACTTTAATTGAAGTTATAATGTGTGTATTTCTGTTCTTTAATTAGGGAAATTTAGGTTTTATCAGCTTAACTCACATAATTATATTTTCTTGACTCTAATGAGTCCAGGTCTTACATTAGATAGAAATGAGAAAATAGAATATTATACAAAAGTAAAAAATCCATTAACTCATTGTCTTAAGGTGCTTCCCATGGAGGGTTATCCCGAACTACAGACATTAGCATAATGTAGTAATTTAAAATAGTGTCTGTGTAGTAACTGAAAACAAATTACAGAAGTTTTCTTGATTGGAAGAATAAGAATAAAGTATTTCGTCTATACTTTTTCTTTATAGAAGTTCAATTAACCATGTCATTTCATCAATGATTTAAAGAAATCTCATCAAAATTTATGAGCCTTGAATAACGTGTTGTTGCCCTGAACTGCAAATTCGATTTAATCTATACAGTTAAACAGGTACATAGTGAGAGGGTTTAGTGTATATATATATATATACATGTATGTCTATATATATGTATATGTATATGTCTATATATATATATATATATATAACACACTACAAAAATAATTAATTTTAGAAGAGATTATTTTTCGAGGATTACCTCAAATTATTTCGGCGGTTTAATGTTAAAATCGCAGTTAAAATTTTTTTAAAAAATAAAAAAACTATTTCTGACGCCGGTACTCCTTAAATAATCCCAAAATATTTTCCCGCGCTTTCATTCCTTTTACGTCTAATTTTTTTGAATATTTTTCCTCCAAACTCTAGTCCCTTCCCGCTGCCTCATTTCTCCCAAACCCCTTGTCTGCACCATAATTTTCATTTCGCTACACCACAAGTTTCATTGTTCATGGATTTTCAACTGCTTCGTGTTGGTCTCCCTCTGCTTGGGTGCGAGGTGTCCGTGTTGAACTTCAACGTCAGCTTCGAATTCTCTCTGTTTGATCCGTGGATTTTCTCCGTTAAACCTTTCATATATCACCAAGGTATGATCGTTTGTTTTTTCTGTATAAATTTATTAGTTTAAGAAAAGATAATAAACACTTCTAAATCATAATTTTGGTGTGTTTGTTGGTTGATTGAAAAAAGTGTTAGAATAATTGAATGTTAGGGAAAGTGGAAGAAGACAGGGTGGATGAGGTGGATGGGTAATGTTATGTAATGGAATTGATGAGTGCTAGTTGGATAGGGTTCTGAAATTACTTGGTAAATTGTTACCTATATGAGTATGTGGTCTGACAAATATACATGAATGTGTACAATAAGATCAAGTATTTGACACAGCTTTGAGATTGATGAAAGAACTTTTGATTTTGTCTGCGATAGAGATTGAAGAATGGAATAAATAATAGGAAATGGAAGAGATAAGCGGTGTGAGATAAGACGTCGAATTTTTTAACCTGTACCATTTTTTTGGGTCCTTTTTACCAAATTAATAGTAATTTTCTACAAGGATCACAATTATACGCACTGTGGCTGCATTTTGTTCTAAAAAAAAGGTCCTTGACCTTTATGCTAATGAGCTTCTTGATCCCTCAAAACGCTCATTTAAACAAGGCCAAATTGCTGGCATATTCTATGGCGTTTCCCAGTTCTTTATTTTCTAATCTTATGGTCTTGCCTTGTGGTAGATGTTTTAACTTTATTCTGTCTTAAGTAGGCTACTTGTAGGATTAATGTCTTACCAAATGCTGGTTACATTTGTGCTCAGAGTGTAAACTTTTTGCAGGTATGGATCTACTTTGATGGAAAAGGAGCTTGCAAGCTTTAAATCAATTATGAAGTCATTTATGGTTTTGATAGTAACAGCTCTGGCTATGGGGGAGACTTTGGCCTTTGCCCCAGACCTTTTGAAAGGGAACCAAATGGTTGCATCAGTTTTCGAAGTGATGGATAGAATGTCAGGAATAACAGGAGATGTTGGAGAAGAATTGAAAACAGTGGAGGGAACAATTGAGCTCAAAAGAATCAATTTCAGCTGTCAAGGCCATATGTGATTATTTTCAAGGATTTCAATCTAAGAGTTCCCGCAGGCAAGAGTGTTGCTTTAGTGGGGCAAAGTGGTTCTGGTAAAAGCTCTGTGATTTCCCTTATCCTCAGATTTTGTGATCCAGTATCCAGAAGGGTGTTAGTTGATGGTAAGTTTTTCGTAGAACTTTATCCAATTAAATTCTAAGGATTTGTCATTGACCCATTAGTATGCATACGCTATTTTCCTGTAACATTATTTTAACAAGAATAAATTAAACTTTTACAAGCAAAGACATCCCAAAACTTAATTTGAAATCTCTTAGGAGACACATTGGTCTTGTGCAACAAGAGCCAGCTCTTTTTGCCACATCAATTTATGAAAACATACTCTATGGAAAAGAAGGTGCCTCTGATTCAGAAGTGATTGAAGCAGCTAAGCTTGCCAATTTTCATCAGTGGTCTTCCTGAGGGCTACTCCACCAAAGTAGTTTTTCCCCCACATTTATAGAGAATGATGTGGATTGGGAAGCTGATGTCGGATCCAAATAATTTCATACAATATATGTGTATGTAATTGCCATAAAATTTAAAATAGCTTCATGTATTTAGTTCTTCATTCTGATTTATTATCACCTCTGGTTCATGCTTATAACATAAAACAAAGAAAAGATTGCACATTTGTTTATAGCATGCTTTATCCTGAGAGTGTTTTTGGGACTGATTCACATACAACAATGATTGATTGGCTTGGAGTTGCTGGATGGGGTGTTGGGGGTATTGAAGCAGAGGTAGCAATGCTTGGCCAAGTATATTTACTTCCAAATTTTTTAATGGTTTAAGTGTCCTTGGTATATAATGTGAAGAGGAAAAATGTAGCTTGAGTTGGTTGATAACTAGGGAGTGATCTTTGCAGGAGATATTTCCTTGGGGAATGGCTCAACGTCGTGGTGCCCAACTTGGAGGTCAATGCGATTGTTGCATTTACCCAACAAACATGGTGTTTAAAGTAAGAAATAGTTTCTATAGGTCACGAAACAGCATCATATCAATTTAATATCCCTCTCTAAATAGTCTGATACAATATTAACCATAGAAAATTTATACTTTTATTATATATATATATATATGCATGTTGTTTCAATTTTACATGCAGGTCTTTCCAACTAGTATTTATGGACTTGGAGGTCAGGTACTGCAAACTTAGAATTGTTTGCTTACCCAGCCAAAGTATTATAATTTTGTTATTACTCCCTTGTGTTCGGGTAGTATATAAAAACATGTATTTAAACTTCTTTTATTCTATAAAATTAATTTTTAGTACAATTAAATTTGAAGTTAAGTGAATTATATTCAATGTTTTGTTTTCAAAGTAAGTCTATAGAAAAATAATATTTATGTTCAAATGCGTTTGTTTATCACTTTCAAGAATAAATTTGATCTAGTTTTCTTGGATCAATCCTCGGACATTTATCGGTGATGTTATGTTTCTTAATTCAAAAAAATGCATATTATTGCCTTTTTACTGATAGAAAGTCAAATAGTTATTATATTATGTTATAACATATAACAAAGTGTGTTTTTATTAAATATATTACTGACTAACTATTATGTTATATTGTAGGTATTTTGACCAAGGGGAACATGCCAAATAATAAAATAACAAGAAGAACAAACTTCGACATTGTTTCTTTTTTAGAATGTAATAAACATCTTAGTCATATTTTTAGTATGTTAATTTAGTATTAAATATCTTTCTTTTTAATATATGAACAATTAGTTGTATGAACATATTAAATTGTTGAACAATGTAATTTATTTTATATATAATATTCAGTTTTAGTTTATATTATTCCTGTTTGGTTAATAAAAATAATTTTTATAAC